ATAAAAGAGAACAAGGTTGGAGGAAAAATAATTCTGAAGGACTAAAAAGCTCTACTATCTTTGAAAGTTTTAGATTGAAGAGACTAAGTTGATTTAAATAGAATAGACCTACCTGTTCTAAATAGGATTTATCTTTGAGTTTATGTGTGTTTTCCAAGGACTTTAAGAGTTTTAAAACTTTATCTCTATGAAACAAGCAAATCCATATATATCATGCCATTAGCATCCAAATGCATTATAATGAAATATATAATCATAGCAGCAAAACCATAATAATATAATTTACCATATATTGAGCATTCAATAAATATACAAGTGCTAAACACTTTACACACCAAACAATATTTAGCCCCAACAATCTGTTGATGGGATGGGATTTGTGGATTTGATGGGGCCTTCACCTGGAAAATAGCAGAGCTGAATTTCAATTCAAGTTTCTACAAAGTTAATCACTACACCTAACTGTTATACTACTGGTACGATTGTCATTCCTTGTTCAATAACGTTCCTCTAGATGAAGCATAAATAAGTGGAGCATGGAAGCCAATTTTACACAGAAGAGAACTTGTTAAACTGCTCATATATCCCCAGGTATATACCTGTGATTCACAAATTTTCAAAGAGCACTCTAACTATGTGGAAACCTGTCCTTAAGTAAGCCTCACATATGAACCAAATGGGCAATATCCCAAGATATTACCTTCTAAGTTTAATTCTATCAATGTTCATGTGAAAAATCAGAAATAATTCATTACAATTCCTCAGTAAGGTGAACTATTTCATTATAACTCATAAATATAGAAAGGTTTCTACATCTTCTAGACAAAACTAGTTGTTTCTGAGCATACCTGAGACTGAAGTAGGGCATGCAGTAAAAATGTCCTTTGAAGCGTTGTGAATAAGGGACAAAGTAAGAAAGCAGTATTGCAAATTTTTTTTTTTGAAGAGAATCTTGGTAAAATTTTAATAAGACATAAGGGAGCCATGATTGTGTTAGATTTTTTTTTATCTTTTAAATCAAAACCTAATTGAAAGAGTAAAAATAGAAATGATGATGGCATATAGATCCAGTTTTCCAAAAGCTACTAAGTAGTGCTTCATTTACAGTAATTCTTCATGTGTCTAGGAAATAATTAGTGGTCTCAAGTATCAAGAACATAGTACAAATGTGAAAAATAACAGAAAAAAATCTTAACAGCAAAATATTAGCTCAAAATCTTCATACAAAGGTGAGTTTCTCTACCTAAAGAACACCTACTAGGCCCACTTGTATAGTCTTTAAAGCTTGGGTATTTGATATATTAATTTTTAGAAAGTCAGAAAATGATTGCTATAAGCACTTAACCAATAGTCTAAAACCAAGGAAGATGAAAAAAATGTAATACAATTAGGCATGAAAATTTTATTTTATTTTATTTTATTTTATTGAGTCTGGGTCTCATTCTGTCACCCAGGCTGGAGTGCGGTGGCATGACCACCACAGCTCACTGTAACCTCAAACTCCTGGACTCAGGCAATCCTTCTCCCTTAGCCTTTTGAGTAACTGGGACTACAGATGCATGACACCATGCCCGGTTTATTATTTACTTATTTATTATTTGTTTGTTTGTTTGTTTATTTTTATAGAGATGAGGTCTCACTATGTTGCCTAGGCTGTTTTCAAACTCTTGCTCAAGCAATCTTTCCACCTCAGCCTCTCAAAGAGTTAGGGTTACAGGGATGAGCCACTGGGACTGGTCTTAGCCACAATACTTTGAATGCATTTCCCCTCATAACTAGAATAAAGCAAGTATCCCCACTTTCACAACTCCTATTTAACATAGTTCTGGAAGTCCTAGCCAGAACAATCAGGCAAGAGAAAGAAATAGAGTAACCAAATAGGAAAAGAATAAATCAAATTATCTCTGCATGCTGGATTATGTGATCTTATATCTAGAGAATTCTAAAAACTCCTCCAAAAAAGTCCTGTACTTGATCATGAATTTGGTAAAGATTCACAATACTAAATCAAACACACACAAATCAGTAGCACTGCTGTACACCAGTAACAATCAAGCTAATAATCAAGTCAAGAACGCATTTCCACTTATAATAGCAGCCAAAAAAAGCTAAAATACCTAGGAATATATTTAACTAAGTGAAAAATCACTACAAGGAGAACTATAAAACACTGATGAAATAAATTATAAAGGACACAAACAAATGGAAAAGTATCCCATGTTCAGAGACTGGAAAAATCAACATTGTTACCCCAAGTACTCTATGGTTTTAACACAATCCCTATAAAACTACCAATGCCATCCTTTACAAAATTAGAAAAAAAAAAATTCTAAAATCTACATGGAACTAAAAAAGAGAACCAGAATAGTCAAAGTAATCCTAAACAAGAAGAACAAAGCTAGAGGTAATCACATTGCCTGATTTCAAATTATACAACAGGCTGTAGTGACCAAAACAGCATGATATTGGTACAAAAGCAGACCCATGAACCCTCAAAACAGAATAGAGAATCCAGAAATAATCCCAAATACCTACAACGAACTGACAAAGCAGATAAAAACATACCGGGGAAAGGACATCCTATTCAAAAAATGGTGCTGGGAAAATTAGATAGCTACATGCAGAAAAATTAAACTTGATCCCTATCTTTCCCCATTTACAAAAATTACCTCAGAATGGATTAAAGACTTAAATTTTAGATCTGAAATCATAAACATCCTAGAAGAAATCCTAGGAAAAACTCTTCTGGGCATTGTCCCAGGCAAAGAATTTATGGAAAAAACCCCAAAAGCAAATACAACAAAAACAAAAATAAATGGGACTTACCTAAGCTAAAAAGCTTCTGCACAGTAAAAGAAATAATTAACAGAGCAAACAGGCAACCTAGAGAATGAGAGAATATATTCACAAACTATACATCTGACAAAGGGCTAATGTCTAGAATCTACAAAGAACTCAAATCAAGAAGAAAAAAGCAAATTGTCTCATTAAAAAGTGGGCAAATAGCATGAACAGACAACTCTCAAAAGAAGATAGGCAAATGGCCAATAAATGTATTTCCTAAATGCTCAAAATCACTAGTTATCAGGGAAATGGAAATTAAAATCACATGTGATACCAACCACACACCAATCGGAATGGCCAATTTTACAAAGTCAAAAAAAGAAGCCCTGCTCGGTGGCTCAGCCTGTAATCCCGCTCCTTTGGGAGGCTGAGGTGAGTGGATTGCCTGAGCCCGCGGGTTCGAGACCCGCCTGGGCAACAGGACCTCATCTCTACAATAAATCAAAAAATCAGCTGGGCGTGGTAGCACATGCCTGTAATTCCGGCTACTTGGAAGGCTGAGGCGGAAGAATCGCCGGAGCCCAGCAGGTCGAGGCTGCAGTGGCCAGGAGCATCCACTGCACTCCAGTCTGGGCGACAGAGTGAGACTCCAACTCAAAAAAAAAAAAACAGCAGATGCTGCCATGGATGGGATGAAAAGCTGGGAGTGCAAATTAGTACAGCCTCTATGGAAATCAGTATGGCAATTTCTCAAAGAACTAAAAGTAGATGTACCAATAACAGTAGATCCTGCAATAATCTCACTACTAGGTATTTACTCGGTAATAATAGTAAATCCAGTAATAATATCACTACTAGGTACCTACCCAAAGGAACAAAGACCATTATACAAAAAAAAAAAAAAAAACTCTGGCACTCACATGCTTATCACAGCAAAATACACAATTGCAGAGATGTAGAATCAACCTAGATGCTTTTCAGCAGATCAGTGGATAATGAAAATGCGGTGTATATACATAATACATATGTATGTATGTGTGTGTATATATATGTATAAAGACATTATTTTATTCTTTATAACAACTGAATAGTATTCCATTGTGTGTGTGTGTGTGTGTGTGTGTATGCAGCAACATGGATGGAACTGGAGAACATCATCCTAAGTGAACTAATACAAGGAAAACCAAACACTGCATATTCTCACTTGTAAGTGGGAGCTAAACTAAGGATCTTCAAAGGTATAGAGAATGTTATAGTGGGCACTGGTGATTCAGAAGAAGGAGGGTAGGAAAGAGTAGAGGGACGAAAAACCACCCAATACAGTGAGCATAGGAGGAGGTGGTAGGTACATTTAGAGTCCAGACCTCTTTGCCACTATACAGTGTTTCCATGTAATCAAAGCTATTTGTATCCCCTAAAGCTATTGAAATAAAGACAGAAAAAAAGTTAAGTTCATTTTGAGATAATTGGTGGATGTGAGTTTTCTTGATATCCCTGGTTACTAATACTTGAGGGAGACTCAAAGTAAGGTTTTGAATTGAGCCTGGTCCATCCTGGGGTTGGACAAGAGGTTGTCGATTGTTAACTATGAAATTGTTTCTTGGCACTTGAAAGTAATCTGTATACCTGCCAGGTACACACATAAGCTATTTTGTTTTATTTATTATTATTATGTTTAAGAATGTCCACATCTAAGGAAGCTTCCTCTAGTCAGAGACGGGAAGAAAAATAAATTAGAAAAGAAGAGCAAAAAATAATTCTAATAAACCTTTCAAAAATTTTTTTAAAAACTCATTGTGAATATATATGTAGATAAAACTCTGAAAGAGTGATATTAAAAAGACTAAGTTCAAGTATTAGATCAAGAAGTCACATGGCTTTATTTCCCTATCTGAAAGCAGAGATAATGTTTATTCTGACTACACTGCAAACTTAGTAGTTCTGAGAATAATATAAAACCTTACCTCAAAGTATTTTAGAAATTGCAAACTATTACAAAATATTAGCTTATTATTATTATTAAAATTTGTCACATTGATGGACAGTGATCACCACAGAATAAAACATTTTCTAGAAAGTTGAGTTATGATAGTGGCATAAATGCAAAGTGAAACCAGTGATTTTTTAAAATATTTTTATCAGGTCTCGCAGCAGCAAAGCAAGTGGGAGCACCAGGAACCCGGGCTTGGAGCGGAACCCTTGGATCATTTTAAGAAATGGCAGACAAACCGGACATGGGGGAAATCGCCAGCTTGATAAGGCCAAACTGAAGGAAACGGAGACACGGGAGAAGAACACCCTGCCCACCAAAGAGACCATCGAACAGGAGAAGCGGAGTGAAATTTCCCAAGTCTGGAGGATCTCCCCACCCCCATCATCTTCTAGACCCCAGTCATGATGTGGAGGAAGAGCCACCTGCGAGATGGACACAAGCCTCTGGCTGCACTGTGAACCCAGGCACTCTGCTGATGCTACCGGGCCCGTGGGTCTCTGAGGGAACCCCCTCCCAAATCGGACTGTCAATTCTTCCGTTTGCCCTGGGATATTATAGGAAATAATTTGTATGATTACTGAAAATAAAACAACTCGTAGGATGGCAAAATAACATTTTTATAAAGCAAGCAGAAATAAACTTGAACAATTTTCCTTCTAGATTGGGTAATCTTTATCTAACCAAGATCTGATGTCAAAAAAACCTTATTTTTTAAAATTTAACATAAGAAAATATTATTCCAGTAAATGGAAGAGGAAGATGAGTTTTTCTGAGAAATAAATGTATTGAAAAGTGACATCCTTTTTCTTTCTTTCTTTCTTTCTTTCTTTCTTTCTTTCTTTCTTTTCTTTTTTTTTTTGCTTAAGGTTATACTTCTTGTTTGTGAGAAACCCTGTAGGAAGGAAAAAAATATTTTCAATTTGAACTTTCCTAGATGCAGCTTTGTTTTGAGTCACAACAAACAGAAAAGGTGACCTGATTAATTCCCATTCCTTCTCCTTCAATTGCAATTGATTTTTATTAGTAACCACGAGCATCAGAAAAAGAGTTTCTGTCTCTTTTAATGATCTGAGGTGTGCAGGTCCATATGGATATGTTCATAAAAATCAGGGCTCTAAAGTGCACAAATTCTCCCCAATTTTCTACAGTATTTTCTGTTTCTTATCATTATGACTAAATAACGGTGGCAAAACTAATGATGCCATTACCCTGTAATTGGGAATTGAGGCTGTTTAGCAATGATAAAGCATGCACTGAGCAGAGTTAATGGGCCAACCAGGCAGCCCCACTGGGTAGCTAGTCCACAGAGCAAGAAGACCGAACAGTTGCAAGGTAGAATGTTGTTCATAAAAGGCAGCGAGCATCAGGAAATGGCTTTTACTGATTATTGTCTACTGCTTTGTCAGCCCAGAGAAAGTTAAGAGAGCTCAAAGAAAGATTTGGAGTGATTCTTGATATAAAATGTAAAAAAAGTCATCCTTTATGATTCAATCTTTCAGCAACTGACCTAATTTTTCAAAAGAATCCATTATTTAAATCCTATTCTATTCTGTATATGTTACCTTCTAATTTAAGTGGGAATGACTATGGATTTTAAGACTGTAAGCATATATATGTATTTATAATGAATGTTCCAGTATTCTGCAAAGGTACCTGGAACATAGTAGGAACTCAATTAGCTTTTAACTCAATCCATACACTTGAACCACTTATTAAAAATGTAATGTAATATATTTGCTCAAGAATATACCTAGGTCAATTTAACGAAAGAAAACTGAAATTCTCATAGATTTTTTTTCATGAAGAATATGCTTTCCTCAGACCAGACAGGTAAAAATTAAAGCAGAAAGCTGGTACTTCCAAAAGAATAAAGATTAAAAAAAAAAACAAACCACCAATTCAGAGTGGTTTATCCCTGAAACTGTTCCCAGGACTGAGATGTGGCAACAAGAGGTATTTTCCCAAGGAGACATTTTGTTTTCACAAGTGAACCATGTTCTATGTATTTTTTTTCATTTAGATTAGGTGAGATATGAAATGCCAGTACTGTTCATAAAACAATGCCTCTCATTAATAATAATAATAACAATCATTTATTGATGATTTTCTGCTGAACATTATGCCAAATACTTTCAATAGATTATTTCATTTAATACTTACAATAGTCCTGTGAAGTGAGTTTGACTAGCTTTCCCGTTTTTCAGTTTGGAAATATGAAACTTAGACAGTTAAAGTAGTGTGTCTAGGGTTGTACTCTCAGTAAGTGACAAGATAGGAATTTAAAAGAAGCCTGATTCAATTCCATGGTTTTAGCAATCAGATTATATAGCAGCACATCATACAAAGTGATTTCCATACACTGCTTATGAAAAGCCTCATGAACGTTATTTTAGTTAGTCTGAGCTTGTTCTTGGGGCTCCATTTTACAGGTCAAAGTTTGGAGAAGTAAATAACTTGGCTAGGATTTACACAACAGGTTAATGACAAAGCCGGGTCACTGTCTATTTTGCTCTCTGTAGCCAATATTCCTGGACACAATATAGAGTTCCTAGGCAATCTTTGGCCAAGTCCTCAGGATTAAACGTTAGAGTAAAGCCACTCATTTTTGAAATATCTACCTCTGCTAAGAAAAAATACTCTACTCTCTTTATGATTCTTTCCTTCCAGCAAAAGAAGGGCACTCCTCCTGGACCCAAGGCCACCACCTTCATCTTTTTCATTCTGTTCAGTTAAGTCCTTTGCCCACTTCCTGCCACATGCATCTGAATCTCTACATTCAATTTTCCAGGTCACTTTTATCACAGCTTTTGATTTTACAAAATGCAAAAGGACATTCTGTTCTCAATTATACCCACCACAATGGTTGCTCTTCATAGTATAATCCCTGGGAGGCATCTCTCTGTGATTTGGGATTTTAGATTTTAGCAGAAGCAGCTGTGAGTACAGTAACATTCACCCAGTTGCTACTGTCACTCCAATAACCACAGAAGTGAGTTGCGCCACATGCCACAGGAGTAGATAGTCACAGCACAGATCGTGGAAACCCCTGGGGTACATGCAGAAGCCCAGGGACAATTCTATTAACCTTTTCCAAGTATCTGATTTTTTGTTGTTGGTTGCACTCAGAGTTGCCTGAATTAAAACATTATGTTACATACTCCTCTAGAAATTGTTCTAATTCACCAAATGGTACAGATCAGCAAGACTTCTGGCTAAATATCTCTCTATCCAGAGAGAAAATTCAAATGCATTTCCCCCCCCCCCACTGGATTTTCCCAGGATTTAAAAATATCGTGGTCTCTATTTTAGTAATGTAAAGAAAGAAATAGTGACTGTTTAAGCAAGCTAATAGATGCATATGTTTGTAGCTGAGTATATAGATACACATATGAGAGTTTAATCTATAGTGCTTCTTAATCTATAAAACTTGACAAATGGAAATCTAGTTGAGATGCCAAAGAAGCAGCATAAATTATGCAGTGGCAAAGCACTATCCCAGGTCCATCACACAAAGAAAAGTCAAATTAACAGCAAGTGCAAAACTGAAAAATTATGAGATAGATGCAAGAAACTGCATTTTTTTAAAAAAATTTTTTCTGCTTTCCTTTTTTCTTATTTTTATTTTTATTTTTCTCTCTCTCTCTCTCTTTTGGGGAGTTAATATTGGTTAGGAAATTTCTTCCTCATTTGCTTCCTTTGCTTTGATGAAAAAGTACTATTCTGTAAGCAAGCCTTTACAATAATTTTTTTCTTATAAGTAAATATTTTCTTTTAACTCTCTTTCAATTAACTACATCAGAGAATCTTAATTGTAGGTCCCTATTTAGAGTATGAGATGCATCCATTCATATGTTCAAGTCATTTATTGATTACTCCACCTTGAACATTTGTTAGGGATCAAGCAATGATTTGCCAACAGGCTTTACTGACGATCAATGAGTATCCTCCTGGCAACTTACATATTCATGTTTGTTTTCACTTGTGTGTTCCAGGAGCAATCATTCATTTATTTACATTGCAGAGAGCCCTGACAACATTTTATTACAATATTTCATTCAAAGAGAGGTTAGTTTTGCAATTAATTCTAATGATCTGTTTTTTCATTGAAAGAGTATTTTGAATCTGTCACCTTATTATAAAGTTTTGCTGAAAGAAGAGAGTTTAAGAATTGCTAATTTAAAGAGAACACTGCACTTAGGAAATGATCACTATAGAGCAGAAGTTACTGTCTGTCATATCATGATCTTTATACATTATCTGCATGTATTAAAAGTGGTATGTGACATTAAGGTGAATAATCCTTTTTACATGTAATTTACAATTATAATCTTACTTGTGCATCAAAACAATCTTGTAAATTAGGAAGAAAGTAGTAATGTATTAATCATGTAGTAGTAGAAAATGGAAGCCATTGGAGAAGAACTTGCATGACTTCTCACCATCACATCTACCCTCTTCAGCAGCAAATGTACCTGCTTACTCTGCTTTCACATCTTTTATTATAGGCACACTACCCATATACCTATCCAGACCAATCTTCTACTTGGGTAGAACATACCAATCCTTTTCATCTATGCAGATCTATCACGCCAGCAAATCGCTCCTTTATCTGATTATCGCTATTTTCCCTCTTCTACTCAACCATACTCATTAGTAAATTAATAAATTTTATTCCTGAAACATACTTCTCTTGACTACACTCTCCCTGTTCTAGTCGCTGCCATTGTATTTGCTCCATATACAGTAAAGCTTTTTGAAATGATTTATGATCAATGAGCTGTCCATCCTACCACCCTCTCCCACCTAAAATGGGCTGGTCATAGTAGCTGTGACTTTTATGTTACTGAACTCAAAGCCAACCCTCAGTCCTCTTATTAATCCAGCAGCAGCATTTGCCACAGCACACAACCCTCTTACTGGAAATAATTTATACTCTTTGTGTCCTAGATACCTCTTTCCTACTCCTTCTTGTCCTTCTCCTCCTCTTCTTCCTTCTTTTCCTACCTCATTGGCAGCATTTTCAAAATCTTTTTCTCTTTTTCCTGACCCTTACTGGTGAATTGTTCTAAGAATTACTTCACTTAGACTTCCCATTTTATTACCTTTGTGACCTTCCCCAGTCTAATGGCATTACACACCATCTGCATGTTAACTATTCAGAAATTTATATTTGTAACCTGGATCTCACTGCTGAATTCCAAATTTCTTTGTCCCTCTGCTTACTTGATACCTCTTACTTAGACATTAAATACACATCTCAAGACAAACTAGCCTAAATCTAAGCCTCCAATATTTCTACCAAATCTTCTCTAATTGATTACAGCTATATCAATACTAACCTTGCATGTAACCCCCAAATTTTAGAATAATCCTTGATATGTCTCTTTTTCTCACATCCCACAGCCAAACGAATGCTGCTGTCTCTACATTCACAATA